AAAAAAAAAAAAAAAAAAGTCTAGTTTGGTAAAGATTTCCCCCTTCGCCAGGTGAGCCAGCAAGTCCTTCATTAAAGGAAGCAGGTACTCGTTTTCTTTGCATATGGCGTTCAGCCCCTGATAATCAGTGCACAATCGCAGCAACCCGTCTTTCTTTTCTCTGAACAACACCGGCGCCACTAGGGGGGATTTGGCAGGCTCTATGAATCCTCTGCTCAAATTTTTATCAGTGAACTCTCGGAGCACTCCCATTTCCTTCTGAGTTATTGAATACATTTTTGGGGTTGGATACTTCGCTCAATTGCGTAGTCAGTTGGATGATGCGGCGGCAATTGATCAGATTCGATTTCGCTAAAAACTTTCTGTAAGTCCTTGTATTGCGCGGGAACTTCCGGATCCCCTCCCGCTCGGGACTCTGGGTCCTTGCACTGCGTGCCTATGGCCACTAGTCCCAGCTCCACCGTGTATTTGGGATCCGCCTTTTCCACATCGCACACGCTGTCTGGGAAAGTCAGGGTCCTAGTGCGCCAATCCACGGTAGGGTTCCACATTACGCGGGTTTTAGTTTTAGCAAAATGTCAGGTCTATGATGTTCAAGCCCCAATACAGACAAATCTCTTGAAATCCAAAGCAGATTCAAAAAAGATTTTATTTATTGGAGGATACACGTAGGTCCAAGCCAAGCATTGCTAAAACTAAAGCCCGCGTAATTTTCCCTCTACTTTTACCCCCTGTAATCCCTCATTCTAGGCACCACTTTTGATTCTCACAGATGTGTGGCCTTGTGCATTCCTAACCCTGATAACATGTCTTCTTCCTGGCCCTCAATCTTTCTCCAGCTCTGTTTGCTTTTACTCCCCCCCCCTCACCAGTGAGAACGGCACAATCAAAGCAAGCTAAGGAAACGTTCCCTAAGATCAAAGTATACAATGGCATTTACTATACTAATAAAACAGTCCTCTAGTTGACATATATCTTGATTGCTGCAGATTCTGACAGGCTCCTAGTTCTTTTTCAGTCGCTTC